TTGACTTGTTCCTTGAAAGACGCACGGTCCATGCACAGTTCCCGTCGAGTCTTCACGAAGAAACTCTTGTAGCCTGTTGACGTGGACATTTTCGGTACAAAAATCGGATCGGATTATTTGAGGGCAACCCCTTCTTTCAGCAACAGCGCGGAAATAATACCCAGCAATTACTCTGGGGTTGTTATTGGTGAAGTAGGCTTGCATCCAGATGATGTGCCGCGAAAAACCATCAATGCAGCCGTTAACTGCTATGCCATACGGCTTTAGTTTGTCGTAAGAGTCCATGTGCCATAGATAGTTAGGGCCTGGCACTCCATAATGTCGCCTCCGCAACCTTCTCCCTCTTCTTTCCTCCACACCTGATGGATCCAGACTTATCTGTATCTCTCTAGCCATTGCTCTGGTCAGCCGCAAACCATTCAAACGGCATCTTTCATGCATCATTCGGTAGCCATGCAGACGTCCCGGTCCCTCAAGCTGACTGGCAATGAAATTGACTACACGTTCAGGCTCGCTATATTGTCTTCGACGATAAAGTTGCAAACCCGACAGCCTCCTTCTCAAGTGTCGAACACTTATGTGTAAGTTGTCAATCACTGACAGACATAGAGCTATTTCAGTTTGAGTGAGTCCCTGATCAAAGTAAAAGCGAATACGATCATCCATGATGCTGCCTCTATACCATGTTTTTATGCCGCATTACATAGGGAAAATTAAGTCATGATAACGAGAAATCGACGTTTGTTATGTCGATATAACAAGAAAATTAAGTCGTTATAACGAGAAAACAACTCTCGTTATGTCGATATAACGAGAAAATTAAGTCGTTATAACGAGAAAACAACTCTCGTTATGTCGATATAACGAGAAAATTAAATCGTTATAACGAGAAAACAACTCTCGTTATGTCGATATAACGAGAAAATAAGTCGTTATAACGAGAAAACAACTCTCGTTATGTCGATATAACGAGAAAATAAGTCGTTATAACGAGAAAACAACTCTCGTTATGTCGATATAACGAAAAAATAAGTCGTTATAACGAGAAAACAACACTCGTTATGTCTATATAACGAGAAAATTAAGTCGTTATAACGACAAAACAACTCTCGTTATGTCGATATAACGAAAAAATAAGTCGTTATAACGTGAAAACAACTCTCGTTATGTCGATATAACGAGAAAATAAGTCGTTATAACGAGAAAACAACTCTCGTTATGTCGATATAACGAGAAAATAAGTCGTTATAACGAGAAAACAACTCTCGTTATGTCGATATAACGAGAAAATAAGTCATTATAACGAGAAAACAACTCTCGTTATGTCGATATAACGAGAAAATAAGTCGTTATAATGAGAAAACAACTCTCGTTATGTCGATATAACGAGAAAATTAAGTCGTTATAACGAGAAAACAACTCTCGTTATGTCGATATAACGAGAAAATAAGTCGTTATAACGAGAAAACAACTCTCGTTATGTCGATATAACGAGAAAATAAGTCGTTATAACGAGAAAACAACTCTCGTTATGTCGATATAACGAAAAAATAAGTCGTTATAACGAGAAAACAACTCTCGTTATGTCGATATAACGAAAAAATAAGTCGTTATAACGAGAAAACAACTCTCGTTATGTCGATATAACGAGAAAATAAGTCGTTATAACGAGAAAACAACTCTCGTTATGTCGATATAACGAGAAAATAAGTCGTTATAACGAGAAAACAACTCTCGTTATGTCGATATAACGAGAAAATAAGTCGTTATAACGAGAAAACAACTCTCGTTATGTCGATATAACGAGAAAATTAAGTCGTTATAACGAGAAAACAACTCTCGTTATGTCGATATAACGAAAAAATAAGTCGTTATAACGAGAAAACAACTCTCGTTATGTCGATATAACGAAAAAATAAGTCGTTATAACGAGAAAACAACTCTCGTTATGTCGATATAACGAAAAAATAAGTCGTTATAACGAGAAAACAACTCTCGTTATGTCGATATAACGAAAAAATAAGTCGTTATAACGAGAAAACAACTCTCGTTATGTCGATATAACGAGAAAATTAAGTCGTTATAACGAGAAAACAACTCTCGTTATGTCGATATAACGAGAAAATTAAGTCGTTATAACGAGAAAACAACTCTCGTTATGTCGATATAACGAGAAAATTAAGTCGTTATAACGAGAAAACAACTCTCGTTATGTCGATATAACGAAAAAATAAGTCGTTATAA